TTAATCCTTCTGCTTAGCAAAATACATGAATTTTGTTCAAATATTTAAAGTCAGCCTTCTCTATGTTGAAGGGCAAATCCATTTCTCCTTTTTAAATGAATTCTTATTTCTCTAAATCAAGTTTATTCTTTTGAATAATTTTTCCTCTTTTTATGAATCAAAGACATCCTATCTTCTATAATTGTTTGTAAGGCATTATTTCTATCGCCTTATTTTATTTCACCTACATAATCTATAAATATAATGTTTCAAAAATCTAAAAAAAAAAAAAAAGAAAAAGAAACCCTGTGGATCTCAGTTGTACTCTGTAACACTTGAATCGGAATCTGCTTCATGGCCATGGGTTTGATCTTGGCTTTTTGGTTCTTTCTTGCCAGTTTCATTCATTGCCCAAATACCACACACACACTTGCTCTGTTTCTTCAGGGCTCTGCTTAGATGTCACCTTATCTGGCTACACAGTGTAAAACAAGTCCCCCCTCACCAGCGTCTAACACAGGCACTCTCTACCCCTCTTATCTGGCTTTGTTTTCCTCCATAGCACTTTCTCCTCCGCCGCCAACATTTCATATGTGTCTTTGTCTATTGTGTGTCTTCAACTCACCACTCTTCCAAATTATGAGTGACATAGGCAGAACCATTGTTCCATCCCTGGAGCCTAGAACAGTACCTAGTAGGGACTAAATATGTGTTGACTGAATGAGTAAATGAATGCATGGATTACCTAAATATAATGCACACACACATACATCCATAGGTATGTAGATAAGTTGTTATTATAGTTATATGATAACCAATGAAGCTAAATTTTTTTCTAATAGGCTATTTCTGTCTCTCTCTTAGTAAATATTCAATTTGTACCTTTTGTTCGTTTTTTTCCCTACGGGATGATTATGTTAGTTTGTATGTGTTTTTCATGCATTGAGTTTTTGCTCATAGACTTGCTTTCTATTCTGAAATGTGCAATATGGGAAAAGGTACTCTTTCAGTCTATGGTGTCTGAATTGTCTGACGCAGTTTTCTCTCTCTGTTTCTGTAATTCCAATTTGTTTCTCAGAATTAGACTCTTGTGCTCTGGGGGACCATGGCTGTGAACACTCGTGTGTAAGCAGTGAAGACTCTTTTGTGTGCCGTTGCTTTGAAGGGTACACCCTCCGTGAAGACGGGAAAACCTGCAGAAGTGAGTTCTTTCTTTCTTTTCTTATTTGCGCGAAAGCTTGCAGAGCAAATTGGTTTTCTGTCCAACAATTCATACACATTTTGTTTTCTGACATTCGCTGCAATCCCTGCACTGCAACAGCACGTTTTCCACATCCTCCCTGTGTTGGCCATTTCCCTTTGTCCTTCTTTCCCATCCCTTCCTGCTGCCTGAGCTTTATCTCTGAGCCAATACTGCCCTTCTGATCTCCTATGATTGGTTGTTCTAATGCGTGCAGCATAGCTTCCTGGTTTTGTTGTTCACCTTATAGGCCTATGGGAGCTCTGGTGGCATAGTGGCTAAGGCATTTGACTGCTGACCAGAAGGCTGGCAGTTCAAACTCACCAGCCACTCCTCGGAAGGAAGATGGGCAATCTACTTCTGTAGAGATACTGACTTGGAAACCCAAGGAGGGGTTGCTATAAGTCGGGAGACTCAATAGCAGTGAGTTTGGTGTTTTGTTTTGTTTTTTCATAGGCCTATTGTTTGCCTAAAAGTTTTTAGTGGAGTTGGCTCACATTGCTGTGTATGACTGCTACATGGAATCCACCATCCTGAGTGTAAATTAAAAAAAAACCCACTGCTGTCAAGTCAATTTCAGCTCATATAACTGCCCCACTGTGTTTCCAAGGCTGTTGTCTTTACTCTGTAATCTTTATGGTAGCAGACTGCCACATTTTTCTCTCGTGGAGTGGTTGGTGGGTTCGAACTACCAACCTTTTGGTTAGCAGTTGAGTGCTTAACCACTGTGCCACCAGGGCTCTTTAGGAGACTACATCAGTTACTCTCAAAAGCCAGTGCCACGTGACAACTAAATGTTGTGTGTGATCCTGGATGGGTTCTTTGAACAAACAAATAAAGGATGTTAGGTAAAAAGTAAAGAAATCTAAATGTGACATTGGTTGTTAATAATGTATCAATATTGTCATTAATTATAACAGTTGTGTTACACATATATGTTACTAAGAGGGGAAACTGGGACGGGGTTATGGAAACTCTCTGTACTATCTTCTTAATTTTTCTGTACATCTAACACTGTTTGAATAAATAAAGTCTGTTTGAAAAAAGGAAGAAAGAAAAAAGCAAACAAAAAGTCAATGCCAGAGCCACAAGTGAAGTTGGTAATTCATGCTCTGTAGCAAGAAACAGTGGTTAGCAGTGTGATAAACTAGAGAGATGTGCAAGCTGAAATCCAAGGTTTCACCCTCTGCCTTTGTCGTTCACTTGCTGGGAAAGTTGCTTAACTTCTTTGAGCCTCTGTTTATTTGTCTCTAATAATATTGTGATAGTGGTGGTACTTCTGGTGGCACAAATCCCTCATGGCGACCACCTTGTAGTGAAGCCATTCTTCTGTTGCATAAAGCCTCTTAGGGGCCAAGACAAGTCTGCCTTCTACAAGCAGCCTTAGAGTATAAACTCACTGGCATAGAGTCGAATCCAACTCCTAGCGACCCCTCCTTGGGTTTCCGAGGCAGTATCACTACGGAAGTAGATTGCTGAACATTCCTTCCAAGAAGTGGCTGGTGGGTTTGAACTGCCAGCCTTCTGGATAGCAGTCAAATGCCTTAGGTACTAGGCCACCAGAAGCCAGTGTAAACTCAAGACACATTTCTGTGTAATCATAAAGGAGTATGTGTTATGTGCCCTCGACTCAGACCCAACTCATAGCGACCCCTCCTTGGGTTTCCGAGGAGGTATCGCTACGAAAGTAGATTGCCCAACCTTCCTTCTGAGGAGTGGCTGGTGAGTTTGAACCGCCAGCCTTCTGGTGAGCAGTCAAATGCCTTAGGCCCTGTGCTACCAGAGCTCCTAAAGGGAATGTGTAGCCCTGAGCAAATGACTTTCATCCTTATTAGCCTTCTTGTTTTCAAGCTTCTCAAAGTACTTTGCAAAGAGCAACTCACGTTTGACATCATCTGAAGAGAGGATGGGTAATTGAAATTACTACTCTTGTTTTTTTCAGACAGGAAAGCTAAGACTCCAAGAGATTAAGTGATTCTCTAAGTCATATGCTATGTCAGGGACAAAGCCAAAATTAGATTCAGTTCTGCTAATCTAAATTGATGTTCAATCTCCTGAGGAATCATCCCGACAGTGTTTCCATTTTGATATCAGAGAGTCTGCATGCAGAAAGCTGATGATGGATTACATCTTGAGAAGACACTGAAGTAGGTGATGGTGAACAATGATGCTGATGATAATGAGAAGAGTTTGAAGAGTTAGCCCCAATTAGAGCCACTTCATCCTCAATTTTACTTTCTGCCCCATACATCATTGAGTGGCATTAGAGTCCAGTAGCTTAGATGGGTGGACCTTCTAAGGTGAAGCCCATGTACAATTTATGTAGGTAAAACTGTTTTGGGAGCTCTGGTGGTATAGTGCCTAAGGCATTTGACTGCTAACTAGAAGGCTGGCAGTTCAAACCCATGAGCCACTTCTCAAAGGAAGATTAGACAATGTACTTCTATAGAGACGCTGCCTCGGAAACCCAAGGAGGGGTCACTATGAGTTGCAATCAACTCAACGGCAGTAAGTTTGGTTTTTGTTTTGTTTTGTTTTGTTAAAACTGTTTTAATTTGCTCCACTGTCCTCAGGTAAAGACATCTGCCAAGCAGTAGACCATGGCTGTGAACACATTTGTGTGAACAGTGATGACTCCTACATCTGTAAGTGCTTGGAAGGGTTCCGGCTCACCGAGGATGGGAAACACTGCAGAAGTAAGTAGCCTAGGGGTAGGGAAGAACTTTTCCATCTGTGGGGCTCAAATGGTTATAGAATTTCATTTAATCTTTAAAATCTTCCTTTATTACTAAAATCACAGATAGAAGGTCCTACCATGGATGCTCTGAAAGTGTTTTGCAAGGGATTTAATCAGTCAATTGCTAGTTCTATAGGAACTTCTCAGCTGAAGTGTTGAGGTTGTCAGGCTCTTTGCTTTTTATCTTCTCTCAGCAGAGGAGTCTCTGGGTGCACAAATTGTTCAGTGCTCAGCTACTAACCAGAAGGTTAGTAGTTCGAATCCACCCAATAGGCCCTTCAGAAGAAAGGCCTGGTGCTGTCCTCCTGAAAGGTCACAGCCATGGAAAATCCATGAAGTACAGTTCTACTGTGAAATACGTGGGGTTTCCATGAGTTGGATCAACTGGACAGCAACTAGTACAACTTTTTTTGAGGGGGGTTGGCCCTTTCCTGATAGATATGTGGATCCCCAGGGCCTAGTACTGTCTAGCTAGTCATTGGGTTGAATTAGAATCTCTGCCAGCATTCACTATGAGGTCTGAAGAAGGATAATTACAATGTTTTTCTTTTCAGCAGACCTTATGAGTAAGGTTAGAGGAAGGGAAAGGAGTTGATGTGATTTTCTGTGGGGTTTAATTTATCCATATCCATTCTTTCCATCATTTGTTTCTGTAGGTCACTCAGAACAGACTCTAGAAAGTTAGTTGGAAGGCAACTCAGGGATAATATTTTGTTTTTGATGAAAGATACCTGGCACCCAAAGGAAGAGAGAGATGTGGACATCCTACTTCAGTGAGATGTACATTAGAAGAACCCAAGGCAGGGTTTTCTCTCCTGTGAGATTCTGAGCTCTGAATCCCTACCATTTAGGGGTTTTGACACTGTCTACTTGCTTTAGTGACATGCTGCCTTGGCAGGTAAAATGACCCGTTTTTAATTAAGACAAAATAAATCCATTTTCTTTTGAGGTTGATTTTGAGGAATTTCCTCATAGATGCCTTGGAGATGATGGGGCATTCTGCATGTCAACACAGCTGAGTTGGATAGGACTCACTGCCCCCGTTCTTCCAGCAGGAAGAGGGTTCCTGCTCATAGCCGGGAGTTGTGCTTGGACAGTGGATACCTGAGCTGGCCATGGCGCCTTGGCCTAACTCTGCAGAGTTCCCAGCTCTATTCTGTGTTTGCACCGAACAATTGTATAGAAATTGTCAAATGAGAACCTAATGTGTTCTGTAAACTTTCACCAAAAACACAGTAAAATATGATCTTAAAAAACACAATCCTACATTTTGTCTTCACACTGAGGTGTCCCTATTGTGGAGACCATGTCTACAGTTCAGCTTGAGCACTTTGTTCCTGCTTTTATTTCTATAAACACATACACACACACACACACACACACACACTGCCTCACTGCCGTCAAGTCGGATCCAACTCATAGCAACCTCTCCTTGGGTTTCCGAGGTGGTATCACTATGGAAGTAGATCGCCTAATCTTCCTTCTAAGGAGTGGCTGGTGGATTTGAACCACCAGGCTTCTGCTTAGCAGTCAAATGCCTTAGGCACTGTGCTAGCAGAGCTCCTACATACACACACACACCCCTTATTTATTCATTCAACATATTTCTTGCTCAATCAAGAGCTCTTACACACAAAGCACAATTTCAAACCCTGGAATTTGATTGCTTAATCGGATTCCACCATTCTCACATCCTAGATGGATCTGTAGGAGCTCTGGCAGCGAGCGTAGCACCTAAGGCACTGGACTGCTAACCAGAAGGCTGGCTGTTCAGACCCACCAGCCTCTCCTCGGAAGGAAGATGGGGCAATCTACTTCTGTAGTGATACTGCCTCAGAAACCCAAGGAGGGGTCGCTGTGAGTCGGGTCCCACTCGATGGCACATAACAACAACAAGAGATAGATCTGTAGTCACTGCTTCCAGTTCTGTAGGAAGCTTCTTCTTTAGAGAGATGATGACAGGAAAGAACCTAGGCCTTCATGGTATGGAGGAAGAAAGAACACAGAATCAGTATTTGGGAGATGTTGTGCCTCAGCTGTGTCATAAGTATGCTAAATGACCTTGGCCAACTCAGTGAAAGTTCTGGAGGGTCTGTTTCTTCATTTATAAGTTGGATATAATGACCTCTGCCTTCTTCCTCTCACAGGATGTTGTGAAAATTAAAGGACCATAAACTACTTTGGAGAGTTTAAAGTACCTCACACATGAGAAATGTTCATTAGACAGTAAAAACTGGAGTGTTTGGGATATCTATGGAAAAAATATCAGCAGCTTAGGAAAATCGAAACCCAAAACATATCTGACAATTCCAAAAATAAGTCCAGGACACCCTATCACCCATCTAACCATTCAGGCTTGTGGGAGTTAGAGCTTTGGGGCTGGGGGGACTTACCTTATCTTGGCCCATCCTGAATATTAGTCTGTAGAAGGAAATGTTACAAAGAAAGTTTGAACAGAGGTGGCTTTTATGAAAATGAATTGTTTTGGTAACCTCTCCTTACGGGACTATTCAGTCCACCTCATTTCTACACTGATGGGACTGTTCATCTCCCTACATTTCCCTCAGGGAAGGATGTCTGCAAATCAACCCACCATGGCTGCGAACACACTTGTGTTAATAATGGCAACTCATACATCTGCAAATGCTCACAGGGATTTGTTCTCGCTGAGGATGGAAGACGGTGCAAGAGTAAGTGATCTGAATTGACTCTCTGCTTTGATTTTGTTTGGAACAACTGCTTTGCAGTGTATTTTCAGGAAGCGAATCTCTCCTGTCTGTTGCTCCTGTGAAAGTAAATGATTATCACTAATTACAGAATGGGAGCTCTGGTAGCACAGTGCCTAAGGCACTTGACTGCTAACCAGAAGGCTGGCAGTTCAAACCCACCAGCCACTCCTCGGAAGGAAGATGAGGCAATCTACTTCCGTAGTGATACTGCCTCGGAAACCCAAGGAGGGGTCTCTAGGAGTCGGGTCTGACTGGACGGCACACAACAACAGCAACAACAACAATTGCAGAATAAGGAGCTTTGGTGGTACAGTGAGGAAAGCATTTGGCTGCTAACCAGGTCAGTGGTTCAAACCCACTAGCTGCTCCTCTGGAGGAAAATCAGGTAATCTACTTCTGTAAAGGTTTACAGCCTTGGAACCCAAGGGAGGTTGCTATGAGTCAGAATCAAGTCCATGGCAGGGTATTTGGTTTTGGGTTTTAATTACAGAATGGGGGAGAGAAAACTTAACGGCATCTTAACTACAGCTTGTTTTAGTTGACAGTAGGTCATTATCAGACAAAAACTAGAGTAATTTTAGGCTGAATAAGAATATCTAGAATGAGGGGGTTAGGAACTGTGCTGTACTGTGTGCTGGAGAATTATATTCAGTTCTGGATGTCGTACTTTTGGAAGAGAGAGATGGATCAAAAATTTAAAGAAAAATGTAAAACCACAAAGTAGCAGAAGGAATCTTTAGAGAATTATTTCAGAGTAGAGAACTTTCTAAGCTTCACTTGAAACACAGAAGCTGTCAAGGAAAAAAAGTATGTGTGGGGGATAGAGAATAAGAAATTAAAACTTCAGTACAGGTTTTGCCTATCAGTTATCAGAGATCAGAAAGCTTGATGATTCCTTATATTGGCAATGGTATGTTGTAACAGGCAATTATGAATTATCGATGGGTGATGAATTGGTAAAACCCTTGGGAGGTTTGCATCTCTCTTAGGAAGGTAGTTTGGCAGTGTTGCATTTATTTATTTTAGTAACACCACTCAGCAAATTTATTGGAAAACATTTAAGTAATATGTTGAAAGCTAACCAAACCAAGAAAACCTTATCATTCTTTCTTTCTTTTTTTTCCCCCTACCCTCTAGTTGGAGCTCTGGTAGCATAGTGCCTAAGGCGCTTGACTGCTAATCAGAAGGCTGGCGGTTCAAACCCACCAGCCACTCCTCGGAAGGAAGGTTGGGCAATCCTACTTCCGTAGTGATACTG